TTGTCTTTTTTCATTAAGACTGAAATTTTCCCGGTTCTTGGTATGATGAGTGATTTTCAATTGAAGTTTGGACATTTTGAGTTTTCTGTTGAGATTCTGTATTTTATTTAAACCTTCTGTTTTAGCTGGCTTTCTCTGACACTGATCCAGCAGGAGAATGAGCGGATGACAGCTTGTTCCTGCCAGGTCGAGGTATAAGTCCAGGTTCCTCACTTGGCTCCTTGTTACCACTGGACTTAGACTTTCTGGTGGGTAAATTTCTGCTTGTTTCCTTTAATATGACTTACTCATTCTGCTTTCATTTTACTGACCATTCTCTTGTTCTTTTTTGGTTCAGAAACATATTTTTAAAACTAATATTCTCCATGTAGAGGTCATTCGTAACTATCAGAGCCAGGGACTTCCAAACAACTCTTTGAAGGCATTACTGACAATGATGGCACATCATCTCTGCATGCCCTCTTGTCCTTACTCTCTCTGTCTCATCTGCCCACAGGTTAAGGTGTGATGTTACACATTTAGAGGACAGCATTTTCACCTAGAGGCTGTGGGCACTTAGAGAGTCCATGGAGAGACTTTGGGGGGACCCAGAAGCCCCCTTTCCCACCAAATATACAAAATGGTGTGTGTATATATACATTTCTCTCTGGTGAGTCAGTGGTTCTTACCTGATTCCTAAACAACAACATGACCAAAGAGATTAAGAATCACTGTAACAGATTAAGAAATGGGAACAATAGAATTGCATGCTCTAAATCAGCCATTTAGGGGGCTGGAAATCAGGGTGTAGGCTGGAGTCAATAGAGACCGGCGTGGTTGTGCTTTGAGCTCTCCCTGGATGTGCTGCAGTAGCTAATAACTGTGTAGGAGTGAGAGGAGCAATGCCCAGGACTCGCAGCCTGTGCTTCCTGTTCAAGTCCAGGAAAAGATAAAAAGATTCTCAAAACGTAAAATGCTTCAACAAAATGCAATGAGAAGGAAAAAACATTACAGTGTGATATAAGAAATTTACATCTGAATAAAAAATGGTTATTAAGGGGGAAGTGTGACTTTCTCAACCTGACTTCAGCTAACCAAGCAGTACTCATAAAGCAGCCAGTCTGGCCCGGGTGAGGGAGGCGGCAGTGCTCAGAGCTCCCAGAAGAGAAACAGGCTCACTGATGAGACAGTCCAGATGTGGACAGCTGCTCATGAGGTCCAAGAAGTCAAACTAGTGGCTAACAAAATTCTTCCAAGAAATAAATGGAAAGAAATGAAAGTAGATTAAATACTGGAGAAAGCAGGAGGGAAGCACTGTGAAGGGACCCCAGGACTGTCCTGTGGCAGCAATCACAAGAATTTCAGCTGAGCCCAGTGGAGATGGAAGCCCAAACCAAATCAGCGCTGGGCTAAGTGGATTCCTTTCCTGGAGGAGGCTGGGGCCTAATTAAATCTGTAAAAAATTTCTGTTTCTGAGGCTTTTCTGATTTCTGTTCCAAACTCAGCCTTTGAAACCCTTATTCAAGCTATTTCATCCCATTATTTCCAAAGTTTCTAAGACAAGAAAGAATATCTAGGGTGTCAGTCTATAGAGAACATCAGTTTCAAAAGGCAAAGAATATATCTTCCCTTTCTCCTCTCTGGGTCACCTGAGCCCTGAGAAAGCTCAGGAAGAGCAGCTTTCTGCAGAACGAAACTGACCTGCTTTTAGACTCATAGGTCCTATGAGGAGCCTGCGAAGATGGACGTGTTCAGGCTGCCCTTTTGCTAGCAAATGGTCAGCAAAGGTTGTGAGAAGATGAGGTCTATCAGTAGAGCCACATACTGCTAAGAGAACACAGTCAGGATGGAGCCTTTCAAGTCCGCTCCTCGTTAAAAAAATCCATTCATTCAAGTATGTATTTGATAGAACTTGCTGTGTTTGGGGCATGTGTGTCTATGGTAGGTGGCACCAGGAGATACAAAAGGCACATAAGTCAGGGTCCCTTGCAGAACTTCCACTCACCTTGGGAAGACAGAACACAGTCATGTGAACTGCTGGGGAGCAGTTATACAACGTAATTATTCAACAGGGAAAACACCGTATAACCCTACACTACAAACACAAGTGCTAAAGGGACCGGCGAGTGGGGCAGTGACCAGAATGAGGGCTCTGATAACAGTAATAATCCAAAATGCCTGGAACTTGGGAAAACATACTCACACACACTACCTCACTTACTCCTCAAAACAACTCTACAGAATAGGTATTACCTCTATTTTAAAAATAAGAAAATCATATTCAGAGGGATTAAGAGACTTGCTGCAAGTCATAAAACTAGTAAATGGTGGGACTGGGACCTGAACCTTCTGACTCTCAATCCGAGTGCTCTTTCTACTAGGCAACTCTGCTGGGGATGCACATTTGTGTTTTGGTTTAATCAGAACCCGGCAAGAGACTCAGCGACTTTCCAGAGCCAAACAAGAAGTCTGGGGTAAGGCCATGACTTAACCCCAGGCCTCATGGCAGACCTTCTGAGGCTGCTTGAAGATCTTCCATTTGACAGCTATCAGGGTCCATGTTTGGGCTTATCTTTGGTACCAGGAGCAGAAGATGCGAAAACGATTACCAAGGGACGATTCCGGAGGAGGGGCAGCAACCTCACAAGGACATGAGGAAGACAGACTGGAACTGGGCTCGAGGAGTGTACAAGGGCAATAAGAGTGTCATAAGAAGGGATGGTGATGGCCAGCACCATCCACCCAGCCCACGTCATCCTGTAAATGCCTCTCCAGATGTCTGTCTCAGTTCTTTCAGCCTCGTCTTTGCAGCTGAGGGTATTCGATGTCTGCTCCAAGAGTTCTGTGTGCAAGGGCAACAACAAAGCCTCACAGGAAGAACAGAGGAGAGCCAGATCTCCCCTGATTTCTCTCCCACATTCTCCTCCAAGTTGGCACCAGGAACTCAGGAGATCTGGAGGGATTTCTTCACACCGATCTCACTAGGGAGCCTCGTCGATTTACCTGGGCCAGTCTAGAGGAAAAGAACAGAGCCTTGGACTCCAGCCTGGATTTAATGACTTCTTCACATGTCCGTCTCCTCCACCAAATTGTAAGGACAACACTGTGTCTTACTCAGATTAATAGAAGCATTTAATCAACACATGTTGAATTAAATTGAACAAACTAGACCTGGCTCTGCCTCAGTGTGACTTTAGACAAGCTCTTCAACATCTCCCAGACTTAGCTCCTTCACTTTTCACATGGGAATGAAATACCTGACCTGCTGGCCTTAACATGGCTGTCATCTGCCATGAGGACCACATAAGAACATGTATGTATGAGCAGTAGGAATACTTCCCAGTCCCATATAAACACAAAGGATTAACTTGATCACTTATAAAACACCTACTTGCAGGTGACCCTGGGTTGGGTGCATCACATACTTGGGAAATTTCCCCAACATCATCTTTCTATCAAAACTTTCACACAGCAGACCCTCAATGAAGTATTTATGCCTGCCTAACTGACGTGACTGTCTGGCAACTATTACCAGACCAGAAAAGGAAAGTTTTCCCTGAGACTGCAAGAGATCACCAGACGTTCTTCCATCAGGCTGGGTAAAGACGTCAGACAAGGTAAAAAGAACAGGAAGAGCTGTGTGCCTTCAGGAATCCTAGTGTTCATCCTGTTGCCCATGGGCTTATTTCAGTCATGGATGAGGAAAAGGCAACATGGCTAGAATTCAACAAAAACTAGCATTAGGGAATCTCATTTCTAAGACTCACTCAGGCATTTGTTATTTTTCTCATCTAACTGTGAGTAGCCGCCAATGTTGAGACCAACCAGCCCCTGGACACTTCCTGAAAGATCCTAATATAGGGTCCGGATCTCTCCACTGTGGCTTGTCTGCAGACAAGGGCATCGTGGCCCAGAGGACCCTGCTAAAATGTCACATGTTCCCCATGAAACTCCACACACAAGGTCTCGACACGACCTGCAAACAGCTGGACCAAGTGAGCACATGAGCTCTCCTTTGGGAAGCCATGGTTTGGATGAGAGAGAGCTCTGTGGGGCTGGAAAGGCCAGGACAGCAGAGGGCCCTAGGCCCCCAAGGGCAGAGGAGACTCACTCAGAGGGTGAAAATAAACATTATTCTTTAATGACATATTCAAATAGGGACCCAGGCCTTCCATTTAGTTTCTGGGCACTTATTGCTGGCATTGTATTGACCTCTGCCCCTCCCTCCTCCTTCCACCAACAGTGAACACTTCCTAAGTTCCAGGTACTTTGCGGGGAGTTGACCTGGTTACAAAGAGAACCACAAAGACCTTACAGTCTCCTGGCTGGGGGTCAGGTATTCCTACTACTATGTGATAAGTGCTCCACTGGCAGAGTGAGCAAAGCGTTGTAGGAGTACCAGGAGAAAACAACATTCGAGCAGACCCTTAAAAGATCAGTCAAGTTCTGCCAGGCCCAGGGGGTGGGGTGGAGAGGGCATCTAAGACAGAAGAAACAGCTTCATAAAGACCTAAGTGGAAGAAGTTCAGGGTGTCTTTGGCAACACGCGTGGCTCAGTGTACACGGGCTGTGTGCAGAGGGAGGGAAGGCTGGGGGCTGTGGAGGCTGCAAAGGTGGACTGCAGACAGATGGTCAAGGGGCTGGCCTGACAGGCAAGGGCTATGGACCACGTTCTGTGGGCAGGCGGTCAGGGGCATGGGGAAGTGGGCCCTGTCCACTGTGGGGTAGGGCACAGGTGCAGGGTACTCTGGGGCCAGTTTGCACCAGTCAGTGAGAGTTGGTTGCTAAATTGTCATGATTTTTGTGAGCTGGTTGATTTACATTGATAGTTTAAAATCAGCCATGGTGGGTGATTTTAAACAGAAATTGGCAAACATCACAAATCAGTTTTTTTCAGAGCTGGTTGTTAAACATTTATGGGCATGTGTGTGTAGAGTTGCTAAAAATCCCAAGGAAGAATCCTAGCAACAGCCAGAACAAGGCAGTCCCGGCAGAAGTCCAGGCAATGCTGGCACACTCACCAGTCTCAGATTCTTCATGGCCTGGGGAAACATGCCTTGGTGTAACTGCAGTTTGCCAACCTTCATCACCTGCACGCCTCTGACGGGGTGGCTTCCCGGGTAAAAGATCCTGGAAGAAAGCAGACGGCAACCAGTGTCAGTAGCTCTCACCCTGGCAGCCAGCATTTCATCGGGAGACACGGAAGTGGGAGCAAACGCCAGCTGAGAATGTCAGTGAGCTACTGGGAGGAAATTAGCTTTGCGATCCGGAAGAATGCAGTACTGAGGGGGCTAAGCACGGTATGGGTCTCCTGCTCTCCAGAATGCCTTCTGCAGGAGGAAGAAGAAAAGACAGGATGGGAATGCCTCTCTAATAATCACAGAGAAAAGAACAAGCGTGGATCCCTGCCTTGACATTTGGGAGGAGGAGAGGGAGAGCACCAGCTAACCTTGTCCTCCACCCCCGCCATGCAGCTCCAGCACTGAGGACGGCCTTGCAACAGAAGATGGCCTCTCAGGACACACTTGTTCAGGAAATGAGTGAAGACTTCCATGACTCCCATCCAGATACTACTACACTCTCCTTTTAGCTGCAAAGCCCTTTGAATCTCAGCTGTAGAGTTCATCACAATCCCCCTTCTTACAGGCCCTTGTGTGTTTATTTTATCATCTCACTGGATTATCGAGGTTTTTATTCAGGCGCCCCGTCTGTGTTTGCCATGATGTCCTGCAGGTGGGAGGAACTCGATACATATCTGACCTTTTTCACACATAACAACAGAATAGGGTGTTACAGATGACCAAAGAATGAGAGCTTAGGGCTAGGATTCAGACCCAATGTGACTTCAGTTTGATTCAACAAGAATTTATTATACTGGATTCAACAAAATGTGTACAGTTTGGCCTCTTCTGTCCCCCACATCCTCTATTCTCAGAGTCTCCTGAGCTCCCGCTGTACATACAGGATTGCTCCTGGGGCTAAGGGAAATACACACTGCGTGTGGTGTGTGTGTGAAAATATATCATATGTATATGAGCTTTTTCCTCAAGGTCCCATAATCCCATTAGACACAAGACAAACCTCCAGACAATAGTTAAAAATATTACAGGATAGAGCATGGTTTAGTGCTCAAATAAGGCCCGCCTTAGTACATGGTAATGCTCAGTTCAACTTTGTTGACCTGAACTGAGAAAATGATACAGGAGTCATAGAGAGAGAGGAGACTGACGGTTGGACCAGGGAAGGCTTCCTGGAGGAGGGAAACAGGACTCAAATTAGCTCCCGAGCATTTGGGAAGCCTTGGCTGACTGGGCAGAAGGGAAGTGCATCCAGACTGTTAGTGCAAGTGAGGGCTCGTTCCACACGCTGCTGGTCAGAGGCCGTGGCTGCTGCCCGCACATGTCAGTAAGATAATCCGAAGAGTCACGGCTCACGTAGGGCTTGCCATGCGCCAAGCACTGTTCTAACTGCTTCTCGTTTATGAGCTCATGGAACCCACATTTAAGCTCTACTGTGCAACAGGGATGAGGTCGAGTTACCAGGAGAGTTACGAATATTCTCTGGTAAGTGTACATGTATCAGCAAACCCCCACTCCCCCTGAACCTCAGCTCTTCCCCACATGAAATGTGATCTAGAAACTTTTTTCATTCATGCTCTTAAAAAAGTGGAAAGCAGTACCTGAGAGGGAGGTATTTAAATCAATAGAAGGTTGGCCCTGCGTCTTTTAAAGAACTGAAAAGGGAGGGGAGGAGAGAAAAACAAAGGAGACACCTGGGTCCTGGATTTTTCTCCATCTTCTGAGTATGCCAAGAGACCAATCACTTCACCTCTCACCCCTTACAAAATGAACATCATTATCTACTTGTGTGGAAAAGATTTTAAGATCCCTAGACAAAAGGCTTAAGTACAGGACGCCAGTATCAGCAGGTAATTGCCCTGGACACTTTCCTTGAAAAGCACACCTGGATTTGGGATTTTATTTTATTGCTATGAATGTGGCATAATTAAACTTAAAGGCCAAAAAGTAATTTTATACTAATAATCATTCCACTCAGTGGATGTCTGTCATGTCAGTTAGTAGAAGGAAAGAAAATCTTCAGTTCTATGATGCAGAGAAAGTGGGGCATGATTATGCCACGACAGGTACCCGCTCTGGCTGCTTAAAGCTATTCAAAACCGCGGTGGAGTTTAACAAGGGGAGGAGGAGAAAGCGTTTGTGAGGGGACTTGCACACAAACATTTGCAGAGCAGTCTCGCAGCCCTGGCAGGGGTGCTGATCGTGTGCCTGGATTGTTTTCGGAGGCCTCCCAGCTGACACATGGAATAAGAATCATGATTTCTTGCTGGAATAGCACCCCAGGGAAAAGTGGTGAAGCTCACCATGCTGGGAGAAGTTCTCCACCGAGGGCGTGGGCTCTCATCAACTTTACCGCATGTGACAGTGACAAGGAGGGAGGAGGGCCTGCGTGTAGCCTTCAATCATGGGACTGTCAAAAATCCAGCCAGGCTGAGAGCCTGAACCAGAGAAGGAATCAGGGGTACCTGACGCCTGTGAGGACTAAAGCAGGAGCTTGAGTGAGGAGGTGAGGGGAAGGCATACCCATGAGACGCCAGGTTCTGTGCCCGGCGCTGTAAGAGCCGCAGAGATGTCCACGGTGAGTCCCTGCCCTTGATTAGCGTACAGTCTAGTTGCAGACATGAGGCCAATTAAATCCTGATGCAGAGAGGACTGTGAGAGCTGCTGGACCATTGTACAGACAACGGCTCTTCCAGAAGCAGCAGGGACCACTGCGATCAGGGGAGGCTTCTTGGAGCAGCAGAGCTGAGCTGGTTCTGACTGGAAGAGGTGATGGGCTCCTGGGACAAGCATGTGGGGCATGAGAAGGGACAGGTAGCTCTGGCAATGGTACAGGAGGCTGCCTACACAGGGCCAGTGAGTGCACTAGTCTGGCCGGCAGAGGACAGAGGGAGTGGAGGTTCCTCGAGGCCAGGCTGTGCAGAGGCACAAATGCAAAGCTAGGAAGTTTGGACTTCTGCTTGTAGGCAGCTGGGCACTGCCAAAGGGGGCTGAGAGCATTTCATTAGAACAGGAAACAAAGAAAATTGGAGAAGAGACCCTAGGGGGAGAGGACTTTAGGCAGGATGGTGGGAATGACAGAAAAGAAGGATGTGAAGCAAAAAAAATGCTATTCAGCTGATTCAACAGAACCTGGAGACCTGCTGGGGTACAGCAGGGTCAGGGCTGACTCCGAGATTCAGAAACAGAAATGCCGCCACAAAAACACAAGCAAACTATGTAACGACAAAATCATTTGACAAGGCATTCTGCTTGTTTGGGTGGCATAAATTTTCTTTTCATAGGTACAACTGATAGCAATCACATGCTCCAAAATTCAGGGCCTAAAATGGAAAAACTGCCTTTGTTGTTTCTGGAGTGAATAAGAACAGAGGAAGGAATGTGTGTAAACACATAAAGAAAAGCAGCAGCACACAGATCAGCTTTAACTCAGACCCACAAGCACCAAGATCTTGCTGCCATACTTTACAAGGAGGCTGACAGTGAGAGAACTGGGATGTGCCAAGTTAAAAGAATGTAGAGAAGAAAATACCTGATGGCAGGACCTATGCAGTTGGTCTTGCTGAGGTTTTTCTACATGACGCAATTACCAATCACACCACTTATTACAGGTAGCAGTTTCAACATTTATAAGACAGGAGAAACCATTTATTGTTCAGACGATTTTTTTAGAACTGATGTAAAATACATCACTAAATTTAAGAGGAGAGCTTAACTTGCCTATATAAACTGTATTTCAGAGTAACCAAATAGCTCTAGTATATGAATTTCAGCTGACAAATGTGCAATGATGATGGAATTAGAAAAATCATCATTTTGCAAGTCCTGGAAAAATAATTGATCAGGAAAAATATTACTAGATGAAACCAGTAGATCAAAGAATGATGGAGAATTTTTCAATGGATGGATTAGATTTCTACCATCTGGACCCACTGATCAATCTTAGCATCACTAAAGTGGGACAACCAGACATCATGTGCTATCTGATATGATGCAATAGGAATTATTTCACACTACCTATAAAACATCCTTGCTAAAACAAAAAAATAACTAACATAAAAGAAGGAGAAACTGAATTTAATCAAGCCCATAAAGTTAAATTCCCTTTCATAGGAAAAACAAGTGACAGAGGAACAAATAAAAGCTACCAGGTAAATCCTAGATATGGGAAACTCTACCAGGCCTTGACCTAGGATCTTCAACAGGTCAGTGGCACGAGAAGAGAAAGATGGCAAAGGAGGAGAACTCTTTAGATTAAGAGATTTAAGAGACAGAACCAGATGTAATGTGTAGATCCTGTGCTTCTTAAACAAAACAACTATAAAAAGACATTTCTGAGACCATCTAGGAAATCTGAACATGAAATGATATTGTGGGCATATAAGAAAATGTCTACATTTTTCAGAGATACAAACTGAAGTATGCATGGATAAAATGAGGTAATGTCTGAGATTTGATTTAAACTTATTCAGCAGAATTTCTTCCAGGTAGTGCTGGATTAGCTTGCTTCAGATCAAATTCTTCGCTAAGAACAAGGAAAGTTAGACAAAATGTTTATAAAAAACTGTCTGAAGATCTCAAAGAGCCAGTGAAGCAGAGAAATCCTGAAGAGTCAAATTCACAGAAAGAACAGAAGCTCAAGAAGGTGATCCTTACATTTGTTGCTACTTTTCCCTTTGCTGATTTGAAAGTAGAGGGAGATAGGTTAAACAGCGGAGCAGAGGCTCTGGCATTCTCACAGATCTGAAGACACAGAAATTCGAGTTCAGGGCTCAAGTGGGATGAGAAGGAGGCCTAGTAAACATCGCTGGCTTTCATTCGTGGCCCCCAGGGGGCTATAATCTAGGAATAGCGGTAAGCCCGAAATAGACCAGTCCTCACAAAGACTGAATCAGTTCAAACTCTAATTGGATTAAGGTGATCTGTTTCTACCTTGACTGCAAGAAGCAAAGGCAAATTCCCTCTGAAGGAAGATAACATCATTCTGAACCTCAAGTTATCTCTCCAATTTTTCTACACTATGTCCTGTGTTCAATAAAATTATAAGCAGGC